GAATTTGCATGTCTCTCATGAAACAATACGTAAAGATCTAAGGAATGTGGGAAAACTCCATAAAGAAGGTGTTTGGGTGCTACACGAACTCTCCGATGATCATCGTTTCCAACGTGTAAATGTTGCTTTGTCTCTTATGGCGCATAATGTGCGTGAACCATTTTTGGACAGACTTGTCATCGGTGATGAAAAATGGATTCTCTATGTGAATATTAAACGCCAAAAACAATGGCTCAGTCCTAGACAAAAACCAGGTCCGATGCCAAAACCTGGACTCCATCTACAGAAAGTGATGCTTTGCATTTGGTGGGACATCAAAGGTGTAATTCATTTCAAACTCCACAATCCACAACGAACTGTCAATGCAAAGATCTATAGTCAGCAACTGGAACCTTTAAATCAAGGCCTTCATCTGAAACGTCCTTCACTCATTAATCGGAAAGGTGTTCTTCTCCATGTGGCACAGTTGATGCAACACAAGATTATGGAGTTGGGTTGGGAAGTTCTCTCCCGCCCACCATATTCTCCAGATATGGCACCATCAGATTACCATCTATTTCTGTTCACTGCAACATCATCTTAATGGGAAAACGTATGCAAAGGTGGAAGGTGTTAAATAGGACATCGACATGTTTTTTGCTTCAAAGCCAGGTGATTTCTCTAATCAGGGTATTAACAACCTGACTGTAAGATGGAAAAGCATCATCGATAAGAATGGAGACTATTTCATTTAATAAATGTTTTGATATACAAGTTGTTCTGGTTTTTTCATCTAAAAAAAGTGACAATTTCTTGATGACCTAATATTATCTCATATTTTCAATAGAGTTTTCATAACAAATAGAGAAAGGGTTAAATTTCTATCTGCTAACAATTTGGTTGCTTATAATAAATAGTACAATTCTGGTGGCATGAGCAAGTTTGTTTTTCATACTTACAAGGTAAAATGATGAAAAAAAATCTGAAACCTCCAAGGAAAAGATATCATTATCCAGTGGTATTAGGCCTAACGGATACTCCAACAGAGTGGCTTCATCATAAACACCTTCTTGTTCGAGAATCAGTTCACACACGTGCAGCTAAAGAGCAGGAAGAAAAAAATCAAAGAAAATCCCATCTTCAGTGGTACAAACTTTTTTTATGTAATGGTCAGAATTCAAGTATAATTGGTAATTTTTCTAAAGAAGCATGTTTTTATAACTCTAGCTGTTAAAGAAGTTCATAACTTTGAATGAAATTGTCAATTCTGTACAGTCTTCATAAATGTATATTAGGCTTGTATTAAGGTAATTTTATCAACAAATAATAGAAAACTTATTTGTTTATAAATTTTGTTTGTTCTAGAAAATGATATTCTGCTCAAAATGAATATATTTACAAATTTAAAAACTGTCAATCATTTCAAAACCAGGAAATGTCTAGGGTCTGTCAGTAATTTCAAAGCCAGGAAATATCACAGTTCTGTCAGTAATTTTAAAGCCAGGAAATATCACAGTTCTGTCAGTAATTTTAAAGCCAGGAAATATCACAGTTCTGTCAGTAATTTTAAAGCCATGAAATATCTAACTTCTGTTAGTAATTTCAACGCCAGGAAATGTCTAAGTTCTAATTTATTGATAGCCTAACATCATTAGGCTTATTTGCAGCATTTATGATTACTAATATAGAAAGTAAAATTTTAATAAAATTATACAAGTGCTAATAATACACAATTGCTGGAATATACTTAAAAAGACTCACAGTGGTTTCAGTTATTCCTTAGTTAACTGTAGTATCAAAGAAACCTGAAACCTGTAGAGTTACTAAAGAGAAACCAAGTAATTTTAAACATGTATAACTGAAGTTCAGACAATGAAAATTCAAACTGTACAATGTTTAGTATTGAGTTCTGAGACAGAGAACACATAACTTGTATGTGTGTATGTATATAGCACTTTGAATGGACTAAAGAAAACAACAACAAACTGAACTAAATATTCACTACACCTAAATCAATCCTTGAAACAACAGCCACCACATATGAATGTTAAATTTGTCTAATAAACAAAGATTACAAATCATTCATAACAAACACTAAGTGGCAAAGATTTGTTTCAGAAATGTCCACAAAGCTATACAAGGGCTATCTGTACTAGCCATCCCTAATTTTCAACTGATAGACTACAGGGAAGGCAGCTAGTAAACAATACCCACTGTTAATTACTGTCACTCTTATAAAACACTCATGATCCCCAAAGTGCAGATTTCATACTTATGTATAAATGTCACAGTCACCACTGACTCATAGATTCACAGTCCAGCCTGCTAATCTCTAGACTATGCTTGGTCCAGATGCTACCAGTGAGAATGTTTCATTTTACAAAAAGCATTGTTATTGTTACTGTCTTCTTTTTGTGTTTCCAACCAAAGAGAGAGAGAGAGAGTAATACAGCTGGATGCATATTTCCAACCAAAGATCCATTCTGAACAACAACAACAAAAAAAAGAGTCTAAAATTAATGCCCCTTTTCTAGCCCCTTCCCTATGTAGGGTGAGATGAGTAAAAGTGTTAAGATAACAGTGTGATAAAAACCTCTAGCTCTAAAAAAACACAATTCAACAATTTGATTTTATTGATTTTGAATTTTACAAGCACACAAAAACTATTCCAAAGACAAAGCAGGTTTCACTTAACAAGATACCCAAGTTGATTTCATGTTTTTTAAAAAGCATGTACACTCACTTTCCTGGGTACAAAGACAATCCAGAAAGTGACGTCCTTATTCTGTTGTCGAGCTGCACTGATGTGGTCGGCAACCTGTTTGGTTGATACCATGCACGGTCTGATAAGGTAGAGACACCTGCAGTAAATGTATGACAGTGAATAAACATTCTTAATATAACAATAATTTTTTAGTATTTAATGTACCTCTCAATCACTATATAACCCAATGTGTAGGTAGATCACAGAAAGTAATTTCTCTTCACAGTTTTAAAGTGATTGTGTTATTACTTCTTCTTCATAACTTTCGTGCAACTGAAATACAGTAATTTTAAACATTATTCTACAAAATAGCTCAGATGTTGGTGTACTTTGGTGACAACTCATCACTAGCTACAACTTTTACCCGTTGTTCTAACAACGTTAAGACGGCTTATCAACTTCTTGAGAAGAATTCTAAGAAGAAAGTAAACCTACAGACATCGGTCTTGTCTAACAAAATCTGCCTACAAAATAGCTCACTAGATAATTTGGTTACATTCCCTATCTATTGCTCACAATGGCTGAATAGTCTAATCATTTGTAATTTAGAAACTTAGTTTGCTTTATCTAACATTTAATTCTGATGAACAAAGTTAGTTGTTCTTAACACTGTTCAGACCAATACATGTTTGTTAAATGTCAATAAATATTAAATAATGATATTTGGGATTGTTCCTTTACATCACAGACTCAAAACCACATTTACTAGCTGTGTACCACTCTTAAAAAAAACATAACTGATTCACATGTATAAAATAAGACTAATACAACAAAAGAAATGTGTCTTACATGAAGTTAACCAATAAAAATTAACTTTTTCTAGAATACACACTGCTTAATAATAATACTAAAGTACCATTAACTATTTCATCAAGTTCAAGTATTATAACTAGAATTATTTTTACATCAAATGTTCCTGTTTGTTTTATTAGTTTGTAATAAATTTTAGAAACACTAATCAATTTTTATGATTGAAAATAAAGTTATTATCTATTCAGATGTTTACAGAAAAGTGTTTACTGACTGATCTCAGCTAAGTGTGCTACCATGACCTGTGCTAATTAACCTTTTGGTTGACAAGATATCATATACACATAGTTAAGCTTTCTGAAGCCTAGTAATAAAGTAAGTTCCACGACTTTTACCTTCAGTATAAAGTTGTCATGTAAAACTTAGTACTCACTTGTTGTTCTGACCAGGAGAGAGACCAAAGTCCAGTTTGTAAATCTTGTCCACTCCATGCTCCTAAAGTTTACATATAAGGTACGTGGTTGCTAAAAATGTGCAACTATTCTAACAGTTACAGTCATATTTCAAGTAACTCGTTTTCAAAATGTTAACAAAATTTTATAAAACAAACTGGAGGCTACGATAATTATTTTACATAACAATCTCAGAAATGACACGATCTTTAAACAAAATGTTAAATAATACAAACACAATTTTACCAACAAAGTCTTTGTGGCTTTACGTTTGTATGTTAATTATTAAACAGAACGTTATACATGTTTTATACACGAGACATTTTTACCAGTACTATTTCTACATATGCTTTTCTAAATAATTCCAAAAATATGAACTTACCCTTAAAACTGTAACACCAGCAATGTGGTCTAATGGCCCAATTAAATCATTATCTATAACCAGATCTTTTTTAAATCCAACCTAAAAGAAGCAATAATGATAGTTCATCATCTTAAATTTACAATTGAAAGCGATACTAATCAAGACAGATACTTAATTATAAATTACATTAAGCATAACTTTTAATACTTCAAATCACGCACTCTAGTGAATAGTTCAATAAATACAAACTTTCACCAAATTGAACCTAGAACTGCTATTAACCATACAATTTCACTTTTCACTAGCCAGTTTATTTATTTATGAGTGGTAATATATATATATATATATGTGGAAGACATTTGGCCCAAAGAGATCATCAAGGAAAATTGATGAATATTTTATAAAACAACTTGGCCTCGAAGAAGTGCACATCGTCTCATCTAATAAACTATTCCATAAACCAATATCATAAAAGAAATAATTCTTTTTTAAGAACAATCCTGAATCTAGTTTTCAAAAGTTACAAACGGCATAAGCCACAAAACTGTTAGCTCAGCAATTACTTATACAATAAAAAATACTTACCAGAAGCAAGAAATGTTATTTAAAAACAATTATGTTACAAGAAGCATTAATATATTTCACAGTAATTCTAACTTCCATGAAGGACTCGATTGTAGAAGTTAGATTATATGATCCAGGTTTTTAAAGTTGTAGAAGTTAGGTGATATGATCCAGGTTTTTAAAGTTGTAGAAGTTAGATTATATGATCCAGGTTTTTAAAGTTGTAGAAGTTAGATTATATGATCCAGGTTTTTAAAGTTGTAGAAGTTAGATTATATGATCCAGGTTTTTAAAGTTGTAGAAGTTAGATTATATGATCCAGGTTTTTAAAGTTGTAGAAGTTAGATTATATGATCCAGGTTTTTAAAGTTGTAGAAGTTAGATTATATGATCCAGGTTTTTAAAGTTGTAGAAGTTAGATTATATGATCCAGGTTTTTTAAGTTGTAGAAGTTAGATTATATGATCCAGGTTTATAAAGTTGTAGAAGCTATATTATGTGATCCAGGTTTTTAAAGTTGTAGACGTTAGATTATATGATCCAGGTTTTTAAAGTTGTAGAAGTTAGATTATATGATCCAGGTTTTTAAAGTTGTAGAAGTTAGATTATATGACCAGGTTTTTAAAGTTGTAGAAGTTAGATTATATGATCCAGGTTTTTAAAATTATTAGGAGACAGAACAGACTACCTGTTGCAAATTTCTATTTTTTTGTGGAATTAAATTAAATGTTGAGTCGTATATAAGGAATAATAATTACAAACACTAGAAGCTACAACTCACACGTATTTTTAGTAAAACCACAACTTGTAAATGTTTTTAGGTAATCTATGACTCATATGTGTTTTTGGGTATTCTTAAGGTAAAACCAGGAGGCCTTACCTTAACATTTTGAAATGAAACAATGAATTTACCTATTTATATTCTTTATGGTTAAATATTTAATACTTTTCACTGTATATACATATATGTGCATGTCATGTTCAACCAGATTATTCTAGGCTAACTAAAAAAAAGACATTTTTTAATACTTTTCACTGTATATACATATATGTGCACGTCATGTTCAACCAGATTATTCTAGGCTAACTAAAAAAAAGACATTTTTTAATACTTTTCACTGTATATACATATATGTGCACGTCATGTTCAACCAGATTATTCTAGGCTAACTTTGGGTCTATTACGATATCAAAATACTGCAGGTAAGACTTTTAACTAATGACAAAGTTATCGATGTTCATTTTTGTTCAATTTAACTTACAATTTTGAGAATGAAGTATACAGATTTTTTTTCCATTTATTTTATTTTTACAACCATCAAGATGAACTGAGAACACCTGGTAGTGGTACAGTTAGTGTGCATAATACATCAACTTGATGGTTATTTTGGTAGTTGGAGCCTGAATGACCTTGATGTTTGGATAGTCTTCTGTCATTTAATATTACTTATCTTCACCTTGAATATTCAGCTCTAACTAGTGCTCTGAGGTGGGGTCTCTGCAAACTGAGTTTCCAAGGCCCAAATACCAAGAAAATAACTTCCATCTTAACCTTTCTGGTACAAATATTAGTAATATTTATTGTACCAAATCATGCAGGTCAGGTTATAGATATGTCTTGTCCATAACCTTGCTTCATTTAATAATAGAGTTGATCCTAATTAACTAAACAAGAACATCCAGAAGAAAAGTTAGTAGCAGGTGATTAACCAACTGAGGCAATCTCTGACATCCATGAAATTACCTTTAATACTTAAAGCACCATTACTGACCTTATCAATGAACAACAAAGAAGAAAAAATAACTTCCTGCTGGTAAATTTTATAAGCCTTATTTTAGATTTTTTGGGAATTTCAGAAATAGGTTGATGGAGAGGATTTTTAAAAACTTTGTCAAATTTCTATGTATGATTATACTGAACAATCAAATAAAGTTAAAAACTGAACGTTTATTATTATTCATGAACAACAAATAAAATTAATACCCGATGTTATTTAAAGATGTTTCAGGATAATAATGATAATAGAAATGCTTGCATTTAGGCCATTATCATTAATATGTACACCGATGTATCCTTTAATAAAAATTATTTAATAAACATATAATAATTATTTCATTATTTTAGTAAGAAGAAAATGTAAAAAGAAGTTATAACTGGGCAATCCAGGTAATTTAAGTAGAATGACCTTCATACAGTATGTTCTAAAAGATAGAACAAGAAAGTGATCAAAAACATCATACACTTCAAGTTATATTTCCTAAGAGGTTGCCCTTGTAACTTTCTTAAATTCTACTTGCCAATAATAAATCTAAGACAATATTTCACTATCTTGAAAAATTTATAAAATCAAACATCAACACAGTAACAGCTGCATAAAAATATTTCATCCAACTTTTTAGAAAGAATGTTTAACAAAATTGGCCATATTTTATTATTTATTGTAAAAACCATACTTTTTAATATCATATTAAGTTTACTAATAATAGTTATAACACTAGTAAACTTAATATTAATAGTAGTAAGACAATTCATCGAATTTCCAAACACATTAGGCCTGCAACTGACCACTCTTACCAACAGAATGAGGTACATATAATCTAACGTTACTTACCGATTTAAGTATATTTATGAGATACTTCGCAGACGTTGCTTTAATCAGCTGTGAAAGAGATAATCCATGAGCACTAGAATTACCTGCCATTTAATTGTGCATAAACTGCTTAATAATCTCTGTTAAAAAAACCTAATCTCTCTCTCTCCCCCTTTTAAAATTTTATCTTCGCTTTGAAGATTTTTCCTCAAAATGTGAACTTTGCCGAGCCTTTTAGTTTTACTTTTTTCGTGTTTTATTCAGTTTCAAGTTTGTGCTCAAGATTTTTTTTTTTACATCATAAGGTAAAGTTAAGTATATTACTACAAAAAACACGTAGACTAAAATATATGTATCCACCCTTTACACAATATTTTTTCCATTGCTTCAATTTTATAATTATATTTCTGTCCTAAAATATTTCCCAGTTGTTTGCTATTTCTCACACGCCCATCTATGGCAACATGCGTCATCTATAAAGAGTACTATTTGTTAATTTGTTATAGCAAATACATATTAAAATTAAATTAGAATAATTTATATTTATTACAAGACAACATATAGTGAAAGGCGTCCACACCATAAAAATTAAATTAGAATAACTGCTAAATTTGTCCTGAGGTTGGATTGAATTTCTCGGTTCAGAGTTCAACTTTAAATTTCATTATTTGATGTAATGTTGCATCTTTCATTCCTCGTGATAAGCCGCGGTGTTCAGTACAAAACGAAGAATAACGCCAGTGCAATAGGAATTATAACAATGCTCGTATTCAGTCTAATAAAGAACCAAGGAACTTGAACCACAGCTAGCTTTATCTTCTGTACTTTGTTTTTACAAGAGTTATTGCTGAAACAAAATAAATGTAACCGAGCAACTCCCACCACCATCACCGGAGGGGAGTGGAGTAATCTGAGTCGATAAATTGATTGAAAAGGCTAAATAAACCGAGCACTTTCGGATTGTTTAATTAATTCGTTGAATTCCGTGCAAAGCTAATCGACGGCTATCTGTGCTAGCTATTACTTGTTTCCAAGTGATAAACTACAGTCAAGGCATCTAGTCAACATAACCTGAGATACTACTGTCAGACCGAATTATGGGGTTTGACCATCACTCTTATAACGTGTCCATATCCTCAAGGTGCGGAGTGCTATTTTTTATTTATTTATTTTTTAGTAGTGAAAGGACGCGAACCATGGGACCTAAGATCCATAGTCTGGCACACTAACCACTAAGCCGATACTTTGGTCGAAAAGAGCCTGAAAAACTCTGGCACCCTCGGAAGGTAAACCTTTCATAAATAAAATCGGCCAGTCTCTATGTTGTTAAAGCTTTTTTATTATTTGTTTCAATATATTTGGTCCTGGTATTTTTCAAAATTTAAAAGAGATTCAGATAGAAACGTTCTTCATCTAATGACAACATCAGATTTCTAAAAACGTCACTAAATTTATGAAGCAAATGTAATTCTTATATCTAACCAATAGTGATAACTTCTAAATTCTCAGCATATTGTATAAACACTTAGTTTTGTTTTTAAACAAATGCTCCTTTCAGAAAACCCAAAACGTAACGAACTTTTACAAGTTTCATTGACTCAAGGATTATTCTTATTAAAGCTAGCTTCACCATCACTAGCAAATCGAATAAACTCTCAACCACTACAACATTTCCCATTGAGCGATTATTTTTCCATTTTATTTGCACTACTCATTGGTTATTCTCATAGCAAAGCTTTCAACTACCCACTACTCAAATATTCAGTTTATATGTATAATTTTAACTTCCATAATCACTTACTACTATTATTATTATTATTTAATGTTTAGTTATTTAAAAAAACTGAACCTATACTCTTATTACAACCATTCATCCCATATCTTCTGACTTGGACTTTTGGAATACAGCATTTTATATTCTCGAGGATGTTAAAATATTAATGCTCATAGTACCTCTAGAATTTTTGAAACGTATGGACCACTCATTAAATAAAATACCATTACAAAATCAATAACCTACAAGAAATTTGACCTACAGTTCTAAAACTACTTCAACTTCTACTTTTTTCAGTGAGCCTTCAGTAAGCTTTGATTGTAACGAATTTGTTGTTATGTATTTATTTTAATATGAACGTTGTTTAGATTAAGTTTATATTTAGATACATACATAGCTTATACTGTTAGATAGGTATTGCGAAACTCCCGCCTATTCTCCAAAGTTGTAGAAGATTCTCGAGAGTAAGAATCAACAATATATCTATATACCTAAACGCTTTAACCAGTATTGTTACGTAAGACTGAATTTTCTAGAAAATGTTCCCACGCCTATAAATATAACTAACGCGACGCGCCAGGAGAGTGTCTATTATTAATTCGCTATAATCGGTGTGCTATAAAACTTCGAAAGCTATAACTGTGATTGTTATAACGCTTATCAATCGCAAACTTAAGATATCTGACCAGGAATATTTATAAAGTTCGAACATTACAAATCATTTAACTTCAGTAGATTCTCATCCGACATTAGTAATTTTATGAAGACATAAATTCATCGTGGAAAACCTAGTGTGTGTGGCCAAGGACAAAGCTAGCTAGCTTCCCAGCGGATT